ACTGCTTCATAATTTCTTGTATCTGAAGATCTGCCTGGGGGGGGGGGCTTCCCCCCCGTCCGAACCAGTTTTTCCCTTGCTGCAGCTCGTAATAAAACTGCCTCTGGCTACTTGTTGCTTACAAACTCAGAGTGAGGACAATGTTTTCTTCCACAAAAGTAACGGAGAAGGACAAATGGACAGTTGAGACTACAGCTATGGCCTGAGTACAAGAGCTGGTTCAATGCCATGGTCACGTTGGAAGTCCTGCGAGGGCTTCTCCATCCAAGGCAGGAGCTAGCTATGGTAACTTAGAATTTAGAATCTTAAATTCTAACTTTAGAATTCTAACGGGTCACTTTAGAATTTAGAATGTCTACACTGTCAATGTTCCACTCAGCCAGAACATCTCTATGGGAGTCCATCAGCAGATACAGCTCATGAGTCTGAGTGAACTGTGGTTGGGCTCCCCAAACATCTCATAAGGAGAAGTGATATGGATGCCAAGCAATAAGGAGATCAATGTTCAGTGAGAAAGGACTGAAATACACTGGTTCTGGTAAATCCTTTTAAATAAGACCATGATCATTCTTGCAAAGAAGGAAAGCTTATTTTGAGACAACAGCATCCATGAGGATAGGTACTAAACAATGTTCCCTCTAATTTCTTCCATTCATGTGTGGAATAATTTTTATATGTGCTAAGGCACATGTCAAACCAATCTGATAGCTTTCTTTGATAGGATAACGAGTCTTGTGGATAAGGGAGAAGAGGTGGATGTGGTACACCTAGACTTTAGTAAGGTGTTTGATATGGTCTTGCATGATATTCTTATCAATAAACTAGGCAAATACAACTTAGATGGGGCTACTATAAGGTGGGTGCATAACTGGCTGGATAACCCTACTCAGAGAGTAGTAATTAATGGTTCACAATCCTGCTGGAAAGGTATAACAAGTGGGGTTCCGCAGGGGTGTGTTTTGGGAGCAGCTCTGTTCAATATCTTCATCAACGATTTAGATATTGGCATAGAAAGTACGCTTATTAAGTTTGCAGATGAGACCAAGCTGGGAGGGCTTGCAACTAATCTGGAGGATAGGGTCATAATTCAAAATGATCTGGACAAACTGGAGAAATGGTCTGAGGTAAACAGGATGAAGTTTAATAAAAACAAATGCAAAGTGCTCTACTTAAGAAGGAACAATCAGTTTCACACATACAGAATGGGAAGTGACAGTCTAGGAAGGAGTACAGCAGAAACGGATCTAGGGGTTATAGTGGACCACAAGCTGAAAATGAGTCAGCAGTGTGATGCTGTTGTAAAAAAAGCAAACATGATTCTGGGATGCATTAACAGGTGTGTTGTGAACAAGACACGAGAAGTCATTCTTCCACTCTACTCTGAGCTAGTTAGGCCTCAGTTGGAGTATTGTGTCCAGTTCTGGGCACCGCATTTCAAGAAAGATGTGGAGAAATTGGAGATGGGCCAGAGAAGAGCAACGGTCCAGAGAAGAGCAACGAGAATGATTAAAGGTCTAGAGAACATGACCTATGAGGGAAGGATGAAAGAATTGGGTTTGTGTAGTTTAGAAAAGAGAAGATTAAGGGGGGGACATGATACCAGTTTTCAGGTATCTAAAAAGGTGTCATAAGGAGGCGGCAGAAAACTTGTTCATCTTGGCCTCTGAGGATAGAACAAAAAGCAATGGCCTTAAACTGCAGCAAGGGAGGTTTAGGTTGGAGATTAGGAAAAAGTTCCTAACTGTCAGGGTAGTCAAACACTGGAATAAATTGCCCAGGGAGGTTGTGGAATCTCCATCTGTGGAGATATTTAAGAGTAGGTTAGATAAATGTCTATCAGGGATGGTCTAGACAGTATTTGGTCCTGCCATGAGGGCAGAGGACTGGACTCGATGACCTCTCGAGGTCCCTTCCAGTCCTAGTATTCTATGATTCTAAGGCATGTGGGGACGTGCACCACCAGTAGAAAAACATGCTGCTGGTTGTGGGTGCTCTGCTAATCAGCTGAGAGACATTTGAATTTCTCCTGGGTGGCCACCCAAGTGCTCAGCTTACAGGGAACACTGATGCTAAGCCTTGAGAGACTGCAACTGAAACAGAAGGAAACAGAAGGAATGGAGCAGGGGTTACTGTCACAGTCAATGCCCCGATGGGGTTCCTGGATGCTGAAAACAGACTTATCCTTTGGGATCTTCTGGCTGACTTGGCATTGGGCTTAGTAGAGGCCTCAGGGGAGCACAATCTTATTGGACAGCACTCTCACCTAAGTACCTGACAGCTCAAAGTGCCACCTCATAGGTTCCATAGCCAACAGAGCCACAGAAGAGATAGTGACCGTGCCTATCTGTGAGGGACACATTTTGACAGACCTAACAGAAGCAATGGAAGGCAATGAGAGGCTTCCCGGACACACCTCAAAACCCAGCAGTGAAAGGCAAAAGACTCCGCACAGTTCCTCCTGCCACATTCCACACAAAGCATCTGAAGCGGCAGGACTGATAGAGCCAAACCCCAAGGAAACGTGGTGAAAGGCATCCTGGGAGAATCTGAAAGGACACAGGGTTCCCTGTGGTTCCGGAGCAGGGTAAGTGATTTCCACCACCCGCAGCAGCGAACACGGAACTCCCCCAGGGAGGTGAGCCCATGGAAGAGCAGGCACAGAGGCAGAGTGCTAAACCTGGGAGAGCTCCCACTAGCTGCACCATGCAGAGCCCACAAGAGATGGGCATATGGAACTATTATACTCCCAGGAACAATGTTTCTTAAACTGTGTTCCGAGGCACACTGGTGTGCCGCGAGGCAGTCAGAGATGTGCCGTGGAGAACAACAGAGTTCAAAATGGCTGCCCTTAAAGGGGCAGGCGACCTTCTCTCTCTCTCTTTTTTTTTTCCTCAATCGCGTCCCCTCCACCTCTTTTTTTGTCCCCCTGAACAAAAAATCCTTGGTGTTCCTTATTAAAAAAAACTATTGTTTGGTGTTCCTTGGTCTTAAAACATTTAAGAAACACTACCTAGGTATCTTTGGGCATCCATCGCAAGTTTGAGATCAGGTCTTGGCTATGGTAGGCACTGCACAAACACAAGGCAAGAACCAGTCTCAAACCCTGGGGCATTTACAATCCAAATAGACACATCAAAGAGTGGGGGGGAAAGGAAGCGCTATCCCCTGTCTATCTGACTCAAGGCCTGAAGGGGCTAAGGTGGCCAATTAACTGCTCAGGCTGCAACCTGCAAGAAAATCCAAGGAGCAGGAATTCATTAGACAAGGTACAGCTGGATGGGAACAGGAGGGAGTTGCATGAAGCCCAGAAGTTGCAAGCAGCTAGGGGCAGCAGGGAAGGAGTCTGCTGTCACTCCCTGGAAGAAGGGACGTGTGTTTGGGACTACAGAGTATAGTTTACAATGAATCCCTGGGAAGAGGTAGAGCTTGGGCTGGCAAATACAGAGAAAGGGAAGAGCCAGAAAGATAGGCAAGGCTTAGGGGGGAAAAGCAGCAAGATATGGAATAGGGTGGGAGGGTCCTTGAGTTGAAGTGGGTGGAGAGACTGCCAGAAGATGGTGCAGTACCTTGGAAAGAGCGCATCGCTAGACCCACCAGGAGAAGGCCCCCTAGTTGGGAGCGGGCACCGTGACATTCTCCTATCAATGGGTACCAGAGAGCTTAAGTGCTGTAAGAACTGAACTTGGATGTGCCAAGTGCTATCCTTCCTCCTCAGTAGTCACTAGGAAAAGAGAATCCTTACCAACAAGTACCATATTTAGGTCAGGTCTACACTAAAAGGGAACATCAAATCAAGATACACAACTCCAGCTACGTTATTTATGTTGCAGGAGAAGACATGCCTTGATTCGAGTTTCTCTGCCATCCCCACAGCAGGCGGCTGATGGGCAGAAACTCAGCAATAGGAGTACCTGATGCTGAAGGGGGGGGCGCCCTCTGAGTTCGATTTAGCAGGTCTTGACTAGACTTGCTAAATCAAACTCAGGAAGAGCAATCTTGGCAGTGTTGATCTTCCGTTTTAGTGAAGACATGATCTCTGTATTAAGACAGAGCTGGCCAGTAAATTACCTAAAAAGAAATTTGGATTAAAAAACGGATGTAATGTTGTGCAACCCCTTTCTCATGCCTATTTTCCTACCAGCTCTTATCAGGGAATATTGTGGCTGTGGTTCTGTGTTATTTGGCTTCCATGGATAATACAGATATTAAACTGAAAAAGTTTAATCAGGCAAAGAGTGATTGGTCCCATATATGTAGAGGGATGATCCTGGCCACACACCTGTTCACGGGAATAAGTTTAATATTCTTATTAACAAAGCCACAGCAGTTAACAGCTGTGTGTCCAAGACCTCTTACACACATCCACTACTGGAGGGCCTCGATCAAAACAGTGTGTGCATCGCACATTTCACTACAAGAACAGAAAGCAAACAACTTGTGAGGCGAACACCTTGTGATCTATGTTGTGAAAATGACAATTTAAAGGGACATTGTCATGCTATGGGTTTTATTTTATAAAACAAATCCTCACATATTTTAGATGATCAAAACTGAAGATGAAAAATCAAATTCAATTTTCACGAGTAATAATGGCTATTTTTGTAGTCCCATTCACAATTTAGGCATTACAATAGCATTGTTAATTTGTTCTGTTTTTCTAGTCAATTTCTGCAGATATTTGCTTTCAGGTTTCGATAACACTGAAAAATGCTCCAGTTGAAAACACAGCAGGGAAATATCTACTCATTAGTAACAACTTTCAGCTTGAATTTTTTTTAAGTAGCTTGGAAAATTTGCTGCTTACAGTTTGTCAATAGTTTGGTTTTTAAAAGCCTGTATATTTGGCAAAATTGGATCCGATGGCACCTTATTAAATCCAGATCAATAGTTCATTGTGAATGTCCTTGAACACAACCATTTTTATATAAGGTACAGATCCCAAATAGCTCTGTGCCCATTGTAGTCTTCTGTTTATGAATCAGCTATGAGTGTTTATTCAACAGCCATTGACAAGAAAAATAATAGTTTACATACAATTCCAGGAATATATCAGAATTCCATGTTACCAGGCTTAAAAAAAAATCAAAGAAAAGCAAATGAATTCTCAGGGATTTAAAGTACAGTATCTAAAAATAATCACCTTCACATACAAAATGCCCAGTTCTCGGTGGGAGTAAATAAACACAGCTCCATGACCCCCAATGCATCAATTTACACCAACTTCAGATCTGGCCCAAAGACTGCATCCCAAGGACAGTTCTGTGAAGAATCACAGCTGCACCTTGGCTTATCCTAAGCAATGTTCCCTCTGATCTCATCCATGTGGGGAATAAATTTGTATGTACACTGAGATATGTGCAAATGTGCACCACTAAGAGAAACAAAAAACCTAGCTGTGGGCATTCTGTTAATCAGCTGGGCAGCATTTGACTCTCTCCTGTGCAGCTGCACAAACACATGGCTTATAGGAAACACTGTTCCCAAGTGAAAGACTCAAACATCCAGTTGAAATATTTCATATTTAAATGAAACGGCTCTGCTTACATCAGTCAGGTACAAGCTGTTTGACTGTCTTAAATCTCCCCTCACAGCATCCTCTACTGTACGGCACACACGGATTAATAGCTGCTTTATACTTTTTAGGTTACAGCTGATCCAAGATTCTAAAAGAAGAAAGAGACAGTTTCCTAAATAGAATGACTGACACGATTGTAAAGAGAGAGTTTATTCAGAACATTATCTAATTCATTCGACAGTGAAGGAAACTCAGCTACTTTGAGACAAACCTCTAAAGAAAACTGCTATGAACGAAAGAGATTGGCCATAAACTATTTGTATTGAAAACTTAGCCAGAGTGCCTTTAGTGAACTTCATTCATTAGCATTCTTTCTGGCAAGGTTTCCATATATCAGTGTTCATTTTATACTTTAATTTGGTTAGTAGGCCTTTGTTTAATCATCCTATTGAAAGGAGAACAAAGAAGGTTTAGGTGATACAGGGGAGTAATGCACTATATTTTATCTCTGGAAAGCCCAGGACAAAGTCACAAGCTCTGATACCCTCTGAGGGTTTTTTTTTCCTTCCAGGACATTTGGAATCACAAATCAGCTGAGAAGCATAAAGATACTCACTGTACTTAACTGCAAGCACCTTCAGAAGAGAAACACCTTGTCAGCCATAGAAATTATGCTTTGCGTGCGACATACACTTCTGAAGTTAGATTATCTGGGTAAAAGAACATCTCCATAAATCCCCTTCAAAAAATTGCTAGGCAAGACGTTTTCTTCATACAGGTTTTTCCATAAGATCTTGCTACTAGGTCATAGATTTTTCTGGGTGCAAAATGTGATTATACAGTTAATGAGCGTGGTTAATTACTAACAGACACAGAGTGAGTTTTCCAGGATTCTTTCCTAGCTTTCTGCAACATCTTCCATAATTGATGAACATACTACCCACCTGAAATATTTCTGTGACTACATTCAGTTGGAGATCCAAAAAAGTGGGTCCTTAAAACACAAAAGGGTAGGTTCTCAGATTCTGTAAAATAAAATAGGCTTCCTGATTTTAATGGCGCTATGCAGATACATATATCATATTAACACCTGGCCCTGTACCAATAGTGAGATTCAATAGCTTTACCCTACTACTCAACTTTTTAAATTTAGTTTTCTTTAATTTAGTTTAATTAGTTTTCTTTAATTATACTCTTAATATGCCCTGCAGTGCATTAAATCTATTACTTGTTTTGATTTATTGATTAATGGAAAAATAATATCCCTCTTTTTTTTCATATATGTAGAATTACATAAGAACATAAGCACGGCCATATTAGGTCAGAGCAAAGGTCCATCTAGCCCGGTATCCTGTCTGCCGACAGTGGCCAATACCAGATGCTCCAAAGGGAAGGAATACAACTGGTAATCATCATGTGATCCCATTCCTGTCATCCATGTCCAGACAAGCAGAGGCTAGGGACACCATTCCTACAAATCCTGGCTAATAGCCATTGATGGACCTAACCTCCATGAATCTATCTAGCACTTTTTTGAACCTTGTCAAAGTCCTAGTCTTCACCATATCCTCTGGCAAGGAGTTCCACAGGTTAACTGTGTGCTGAGTGAAGAAAAACTTTGTTTATTTTAAACCGGTTAACTCAGTCTTCTCTAGACATTGAAAATTATTTCTTTCCTCATAGATCTTTACTTTCCAAACCTTTGGTTATGTTTATTATTGTACTCTGAATGGTCTAATTTATAAGACAGAATCTCATCCTCTAAAGACAAAGACCAGAAAACTTTCCTCTTTGATAAAGCCTTCCCAGCATAACGGATATGATATTCACTACGTCAACAATGGTCCATCAACAAAAAAAGTTCAAAGAAAAGAAAACAAACTACAACACACAACAGAAAAGGCAACCAACACCTATCCTGAAAACAAAAATAAAATAATTTAAAAAAAATCCAAAACAAACCCTGACACCATCAGACTTTCTATATCCAGAAAAGTGATTATAGCCAGAAATTCCATTAGCTCTTTTTGAGATCTTGCTAGTGGGCATTATCTTATATGGAAAAAATTAAAATAATCCATGGAGGGGTAAAGTATAAAATGCTTATGTAGGTAATTTTTAAATGGCCATGTGATATCATCTGTGTAAAATATGACCATGCAGATTATACCATGGTTAGATAATTACATAAAATGTTATAAAAGTGTGTCAAGTAAGGTGTCAATAGAAAATTTATGATTTGCTGAATGGGATTATACTATTTTGTATGCATGAATCATTATTGTATTTGCAATTATGAATATTGGCTCTATACTTGTATTTCAAATAAGTTAGCGCTTGTAGAAACGTCCACAAGACATCTTGAAGGGACTATTCAAGCTGAGTGACCCTTCAAAAGAACATTTAACTCACAATGAAAGACGCCCACCTACCTTGAATGGACTTTCTTGCAATCCATGCTGTGAACAGAATGTATGTGAAGTCTTCTATTGTGACTAAGCAGAATTATGCATGGACATGTGACTTGTACAAGTAACTCCAAACTCCATCTTTTACCTGTAATCTTCCACTAGTTGTGCTGAGAGTTTTGTTTGAAACAATGGATTTCCCTCTGTATGGCTGAAGCTACAAAAAGTGCTGGAAACATCTCCATTTTGCTGCTTTCCTGCTCAAACCTAAACTTGTACTAATGGGAGCATTCTAACTATGGGACTGCGAACCTTCCCATGATTTGAATAAATCAGCAGTTGATACCATCACTGCTATTAGCCTGATCCAAGGACTTTGCATTTATTGTATATATTTGATTCCTTTAGCCCCGCGTTTCTGAAACTGTGGGTCCTGGCCCCCCCGGGGGGTCACGAGCACCTTAGAGGGGGGTTGCAGTATCACAGAGTTTGGGAACCCCTGCTTTAGCCAATTTTAACTCTTCTCTTTCTCTCTCTAAACCTTGCAATTTTAGATACTAAAAGATTGGAACAGCATGATTATTGGGTAAGATCTGAGTCATATATTGACCTAGGAACATGGCTGGTGGCCCTTTGGGATCAGAACAACCTTTTGTTTGATGAAACTGATTTAAAATTCAGTGGTTTTGGTGGTGAGTCCAAGGAGTGAATACCTGAGGAGGCTGCATTTCTAACTTCTTGTTGGCCAGTGAGGCGAGACACAAGTTTACTTTTGTTGCTGGTTGATATATCTTATGGAAGAATAACCACAAGTTTGGGGTGTGTCTGCCCTTTTTTTCCAACACTTTGTCCTGAATTTGGTATTCTCAGCTATAACTCATGGAGGCATGGTAACACAACATGCAGTCCAAAGGCAGACACTTTTGGGCCCTCATTTTTCTCTTACAACCAGTACTAATGCCCTTGAATTCTAAGCTGTACCAGAGCAAGTAAAAGAAGAATCAGGCTCTTCATCTCTGCTGTCCATGGCTAGATTCAAACGGACGACTTGGTGAAAGAATTCATCTTCCCATCTTAATCCCATGAGTCATTTAAGTCTCCTGGTAATGGTTCTTTGGTATTATTACCACAAAGATCATTTATACAGTAACGAAATGAGCTTAGGAAAACCACGCAGAAATAGCAATGGGCAAGCACACAAATTCCTGAAACGCAGTAGATGTGGCAAATGTGAGACATTTCCATTTGTATCTCAGTTGCATAACGTAAGCATTTAAATGTGGGAAGTTCTGATTCACTGAACACAGGGGGAAACTGGTAAACAAGTTGCCAAAAGCTAAGTTCTTTATTATGCAACCAAAGCAAAGAAAACCAAAGACAGTATATTTTGTGTGTGTCTATGATACAGGAAAAACAAGAATAAGATTTAAAACATTGCATGATCTGAAATGAGAAATTAAAACCAAGAACGTTCTTGGCTAATGTGTTGACTGGTAATTAGTAGGGACAATATAAATGAGGTGGCATTGAACAAAGAAGGTAACAATGCACTTTTAATAAACCAATTTCATCCATATCTCCACTGATTTGCAACTTGACAGTCATATCAGGAAAACCTAATTTCTTTAACTAGACAAGATGTTTTAAAAACATGACTCATTCATTCTCATTAATATCAATTTAGATGGCATTTTAAAACAATAGTTCATATTATCTGTACAACAGGTTAAATGATTGCATTCTAAGACTCAAGATGCTTATCACTCTACAATCCAAAGAAGCAGCACCCCAAAATTAAATAATGGAGGCTATATTCCCTATAGCTTGTGAAACAGAGGGCATGATGCTTCAAATTTAATGCTACAGTATTGTTAATTTATCCCTCAGATGCACTGTACTAATATAGCTAATACTGTCACAATTTTGTGGCATTTTAGAGCATTTTTCCTTTGTTTAAAATGGGAAATAAAGCATACATTTCCATCGCATACTTTATTTGTCTTTCAAGGTACTATGATTAAAAGATACACTTAAAAGAAAACATCACAACAAACACAAAAAAGCATAGTATGTTTTCTGGTCTTTATAGAATACGAATGACACTTCCTTCTTCCAAATGTGAGTGCAATCATTTTGACAAACACACAATGATTTGCAAATAAACGGATCCGCTCCAGCTACAAATGTAAAATTCAGTTGCTATCATTAAAACTGCTAGAGCCTCTTTCCTTAGGTCCTGATTAAAAAAGGCACTTCGGCACCTGTCTGTCTATTCACAGGACAGTCCCAATTTCATGCACTGGGATTACTTGCTTCTATGCCTCCTTAGGTATCTTTCTGAATCAGGGCCTTAAACAGTATGTTGGTTGGTTGGTTTCATTTGTGGGCCACCTGGAAAGCACCTCTTGGGAGTAGCTCTCTCTCAATGTTTTAAAGCCACAGTAATGGACTTAAATCATACAGAACTTTCATACCTGTTAGAGTTCAACACTCACAAATACCCCAAACACATAAACCTAAATTATTTTTTTTTTAAAAAGGAACTTTATAAATATCAGGTATTTACATGAGAGAAAGTCTTTTAATGAGAAGTGTTTTTACACACTGATGAAATGTACAAGCAATGAAAAGGTACATGACAATGACTAAAAACAAAATGTATAAAATATATTACAGGTCCACTGAAAACAATTCACATGGAAGAAAAAAAACCTGACACAATAGAAACCTTTTAAAAAATAGAAGATATTTCACAAATGCCTGAACATGTTTATTTTATGTTAGTTCTAAAAATCAAGGAAAAAAGCTTCATATATTCTTATCACAAAAATATTTACCAGCCACTTTTTTTTATTTTGTTTTCATGTTATGATTATCTGGCTATGCAGGAATGGAGGTTGAAAACTGTATTCCAACTACAGAAATCATTCCAGTAGGTCTTCCTTAGGTGATTGCAATTTTCATGTTTGTCCTCTCTTTTAACACCTTAATGCAAAGGCTCAGGAGAGAATAAAAACAAATGAAAAAAGACAGAGGAGAGATCTGTATTTACTGTACTACATTTGCCATTGTTGCTGCCGATCTGCAAGAATGAGAACTGTCTTGTTAACTATTTAACCCTTGTATCACGTTATGTGAGTTTCCATCAGTAAGTGCAAGCCAGTGACAGAGCATATTCAAATATAAACCACTGGGACTCACACAGTTTGGAAAAAACAACAGTCGAGAGTGGACAGTTGTATTTTTGTTCCTGATTCATTCAAGAGTCATAATCCATAAAACCTGATGACAAATGATGAGGCAGAAACACAATGAATCCATCTACGGAGGAGTCAGGACAGAAGTGCTGAAAGTGACTGGATGATTTAAATCCACTGCAAAAACTTCAGTGTGCTCTGTGCTTCCGCTTCTTGTGTTTTTTATCTTTCTTTTTGCTGGCACACTTAGAGCAGAACCATTGCATTTCTTCTGGCGGTGCAGCAGTAATTCCAACACAAGGCCTATACATTTGATAAAAAACCCACAAGACCTTAGTAAATCAACATATTACTTTTCTTTCTTATTCAAGCAGGATGAACTTTTCAGACAGGAAACAGAATCTGACAATTTTTTTAGCTTTGAACACTATAGCTTGGAAATGTAAACCCTCTTGTTTTGAAACAATGAATTTCTTAGAAAACCCTTTAGATAAGGAACCTTTTTTTTTTTTTTTAATAAAATAATATGAGAAGTCCACAGCTTTTGGGTGTTAAAGGTCAAATATAAAATAATACCACATCATCATTTAAATCATTTGCGGAAAAGCCTTTTGATTTTGTTTAGCTGCCTGAAAAATATACCCATAAAGTGATTCACTTTAAAAAAAATTATTTTAAAATGTTCTTTTTCATATAATGAGCCCATAACTTGAAACATTATAGCTATGTTGATGGTGTTCACACACACTGTTGTTCTTGGAGTATGTGCCAGTATCTGATACAGGTTGAACCTCTCTTGTCCGGCATTGTTGGGACCGGACTGACGCCAAAGCAGAAAATTTATTGAACCACAGGAGGTCAATACAGCCGGTCCCCGAGCTCCGAACGGTCGAGTTATGACTGTTCGCATTTACGACCAAAGCTCCCATGGAACGGTCGTAAAGGCGGTTCTCGAGTTATGAATGCGACCTGCGCTTACGAACAGTGCGATCGCTATGTAACTCAATGGGGTCTGAGTTACGAACAAATCAAGTTACGGCCAAGTGTTTGGTCTGTAAATCGTTCATAACTCGGGGAAAAGGCTGTATTGTCTCACAGCATTACCAACACTTCCACTGCTTACTGGGCTCTTAGAAGACATTTAGGAGTAAATTAAGAGTTAAATAAGTGCACAACACACTGAGAGCCAGGACTGGTGGCTGTAAAAAAATTTTATGGGACTGTGGGAAACTTGGCCACACCCATAAGTGGACATCGGGCTAACTAAAATCATGCCAGACCATGGGTGTGGGCCAGGGGTGGGTAAAAGGGCCTCCGTGGGCCTTAATTAGCCTGGGGGACAGGGGAGCACGCGAAGTCTCCTCCCACCCTGCCAGGAGCACGTAAGCGCTGTGTGCTGCTCGCAGGGCAGTGGGGGGAGAGCGGAGGCGGCTTCACGCGCTCCCAGGCCAATCAGAGCCTGGGGGCAGGGGAGCTGCATGAAGCTTCCTTTGCCCTGCCCCAGCCTCGCAAGGAGGCTTCCCACACTCCCCCCACCCTCAGGCCCTGATTGACCTGGGAGTGGGGGAGCGTGCCAAGCCTCTTCCAGGGCATGGGTACCTAGTGAGAAGGGGGGGCAAATGGGCTCCCCCACCCCGAGAACAATCATGGTCTGGGGGCAGGGTAACTCCGGCCCTTCCAGGGTGGCCCGGGCTACTTCAAAATATTTTAAGTGGCTCCCGGGCAAAAATTATTGCCCACCCCTGGTGTAGCCAGACCAGAGGTTCAACCTGCATAACAGTTTCAAAACTATTATTATTGGTTTTAGCAAAACATTTTCCTATGAGTTCTAATGGAAACAAGGAAGAAATATGGACAACCTTACAACTTAAAAACTTACTCTTGAAATTTCCAAAGTAAAGATCAGGGTAAAAGCTTCCAAATTACTAGTAGAAAGGAAAAGGAACTGTTCAAATCCTGCCTTAGTGTCTTGCAAATAACCAGTTCATTTCCAGGACTGCAGCAATGTGTGAAAGAATAGCACAAAAGAAGAGGTTACCACAACTTACCAGTGATACCAATCATCACAGTCATCACAGCCTATCATTGGACTGCCATCATCAAGTTTGTTGCAGCCAGGACAGATCCAGATCTTGTTACCCCATTCATCTTGGATCTGATATAAAAAGGGAGGAAACAGTTGATTCTTTTTAATGTCAAGAACGCAAACATAACTGATTTTCTTAAAGTTACATTTCTTGTTTATCAGTCAAAGATATCTAACGTTCACTCTACTCTTGGAAAGTTATACCTAAGAATACTCAAAGCACAATCGTTTGGCGTAACCAGTCTAATTGATTTGCTATACTGGATTCAGATGGTAAAAACAAACATTGTTATGCTCTCCTCTGTAAACCAGTAAAGCCAGTTAAATCACTTGACCCAAGAAAATATTCACTCACCTATAGCAATCACCATGGCTTAACAGTATAGATCCTTAGCTATTGATTCCCTCCCAGTGACCTGAAGACTGATTTCTTTTTAATTTCACACTGCTTATGGATAGAAGTCCCCTGCATAAGATAATAGCTTTACATATGTGTAATAAATACAGTGCAACATGCATGTATTCCCTTATTACTTATTAGCCAAACTCAACTAGCTGATAAGATCAAGGATATAAAAAAGTTGTTACTAAGTAACTTTCCATTCTCTTTATGACATTGATGTCACAGTACAATTTACTAAAGGGTAAATGCAATGAGAGAGGCAGATCATTTACAATATTAAGTAAATGTTTACTAAATTCATCACATTCATTGCCGTATAATGGATTCTTCTGGTATTATTTCCAGTTTGAATCACAATACAATTTTTACCTTTCAAAACTGTTTAATTAAATAGGTCTTTAGTATTGTTTGGCAAAATTTAAACCTTCACAAAATAAATGTAATGAAATCAATTTTATGATAGAAAGCACATACACAACTGACGGAGGATCTACAATGGATTTAATCACTTCT